TAACTCTTTGAGTGAGATAGAAGTAGAGAAGTTACTTCGAGTCTTACGGTAACACAAGGAAGCCATTGGGTGCACGATTGCTGATATTCGAAGAATCAGTCCCTCATTTTGTATGCACAAAACACAGATGGAGAATGACTTTAAGCCATCAATTGAGCATCAAAGGCGACTGAATCCGAATATGAAAGAAGTGGTGAGAGCTGAAGTCGTTAAATGGCTTGATGCAGGCATTATCTATCCAATTTCTGATAGTCCATGGGTAAGTCCTGTACAAGTTGTGCCAAAGAAAGGAGGCATCACCGTGGTGGAAAACGAGGAAAATGAACTGATACCTACTAGTCCTGTGACTGGTTAGAGAGTGTGTACTGATTACCGCAAGCTTAACACTGCGACTAGAAAGGATCACTTTCATCTTTCTTTCATAGATCAAATACTTGAGCGGTTGGCGGGGTATTCACATTATTGTTTTCTTGATGGGTATTCGGGCTACAATCAAATTCCAATAGCCCCTGAAGATCAAGAGAAAACTATTTTTTCATGTCTATACGGTACATTTGCGTATAGGAGAATGCCCTTTGGAGGGATTATGAGTTTTCTAGGACATGCTGGATTTTACAGGAGGTTTATCAAAGATTTTTCGAAAATCACAAAACCTCTTTGCTCATTACTTGAGAAGAACGCTACTTTCAATTTCTTTCAAGAGTGTCTCAATGCTTTCAATACTTTAAAAGAGAAATTCATCACTGCTCCTATCATTGCAGCTCCAGATTGGACTCTTCCATTTGAGCTGATGTACGATGCTAGTGATTTTGCTGTTGGAGCAGTTCTGGTTGATTTTAAAGGATAATTAGAGACTTCAAAAATATCCAAAAATATCTCCTATTAAAAAAAACAAAGATAATGCAAACTTATCACTTAACTAAGAAGTAAGCTTAGTTAAGTGGCTAAAGTCACAAGAAAATATCCAACTTGATAAATTGCACTACAAGTCCCAACTTTTTGGCTTGTGCACTTTGGTCCCCAACTTCACATTTTTGTATACTTTTAGTCCTTTTTCTTCTCCTTTTGCTTCGTTCACCTTCTTATCGGGGCTTTTGCCTACAAAAGTGAAAATTACACAATTATGCATAGAAATGTACTCAATTTCAATTATATTTAACTCTGAAAAGTGCCTAATAAGTGTGTAAAAATACACTTATCACACCCCCAAACTTGAGCTCTTGCTCGTCCCAAGCAAAATTAACTCCAAACATAATCATGCAAATACAATAATGATCAACATATTCGACAACTTGCCAAAAAATATCAAAGAGTTTTAAAACTGTATATCAATTTATAACCATGCTC